ATGCACTGAGCAATGTATACTAGGCGCGCAACCTAAACATGTAAGCAAACATGGGCATGCAACAACATTGCGACGATGTATGGACGTAAACTAACATGATAGCTCGCAAAGCATGCAAAATCAGTGGCCGATTAGATGAAAAATGCAGACTCTCGAAAGCATGCACGCATGTACGTAAAACCGAGACCAAACCTAAGGCATAGTATGCAAACCTAACAAGCATGGCCAAGGCAATGAAATATGGGCATACAAAGCGATGAATTCCAAGCACTGAAATGTGATACAAAACAGGCCCCGAATCATGGAAACATGCACCCGATGCATGTGGAATGGCCCCGAAACGCAAAACAGCATACACATTGGCCATAGCCTATACAAAGCATGCATTATTTGATCATGAAGCGATGAAGCATTGAAGACAGATGCAAAAACAAGTCCCAAAACATGCATATTCCAGTTCAAAGCGATGGCCAAAAAGAGTTAATCAAAGATGGACTAAAAATAGCATGCAACTTTCACTAGCAAACATGGTTGTATGGCATAGTATATGATGCACAGGGAATCTCACCAAACCATCGAAAATCAGTGAATAAAATATGTTAAAAAATAGCGCCCAAATAACCACATATACAACCATGGCATGCAAAAAATAATAAGTAGCGTTAAGGCCATCCAAGGAGTTATTAAAAGCACAGCAAGATAGACATTTAGCAAGACCAAACCAACTCTTGGAAATGGCTTATGGGGGTCCTAAAACCCACTGAAAAATGCCTGAACCGAGCTCAAGAAGTGTGCAAATATAGGCCCCTTTGTAAGGCCAAAAAGGGCATCAAACAAGACAACAAGGAGAGGGGATGGCCCTCTCCTTCTTAGGACCTTAAACCACCATCCTCACCACTGAAATCCCTCAAGATTTTAGTGGTGAGGAGGCCCAAACAAGGTGGTCCCGGAGCTCACTAAAAATGCACAAAAATGAGGCCAAACAAGGCCAAAGAGGGGTCAAACAACCCCAAACACAAAAGTGTTCTTGAACAAACTTAAAAAGGAGCTAAAAACAAGACTTTTTTCAGTTATACACAAAGCTTAAATCAGAAAACAAGATAGGCTGAAAGTGTGTGCAAAAATGGGGAAACTAAAGCAAAGATGTTACCCTTGAAGAACCTTTGATGAACAACAAGGTCAGACCTCTTCTTGTGATCAAAACCAGCTTAAAACTCCAAGAACAAACCCTCAAGGCCTCTCAAGTCAAAGTGTGGTGTAATGGTGTGTGTGTTGGTGCAATACTATGGTCAAAACACACTTTAAGGCTCTTAAACACACACAAAGGATGAGAGAGAGGGAGATATATAGAGAGAGGGTATATATATCAGATATATATGCCCTAGGTCTGGTTTTTCGCTGAACCAAAATAATGGAGGAGGATGGGTTTCTTATATAGGCAAAGGGAAATGGTTTAAGCTTCTCAAAGAAGCTAAGTAAAAGGGGCAAAAGGTGCAAATGAGGTCAAGGCTTCCAGAGGAAGCTAAGACAGCTGGCCAAGCTTCTTGAGGAAGCCAAGACAAGGGATCAAAACTTCCTCAAGAAGCCTTGAGCAAAGGGTGCAAAAAGAGGGGTCAAAGGTGGTCAAAGGGGCAAAATAGCCACATATATGCACGGGGAGCAAGGTCTGTGCATCCCAGCTGGCACAACTGGCATGCACCATGCCTGGAAGGTGCAAAAAGGTCAAACCGGCCAGAAAAGGAGGTCGTCGGCCAAAATAAATGGCCGGTCGGCACAATAAATTGCCGGTCGGCTAAATAGATTTCCGATAGATGCTTCTAAGGTCAAAAAATGGCCGGTGGGTGTCCAAATTGAAGCCCCGGAAGTTATATTTCCAATGCCGCAAACCTTGCATTAAAATTCCTCCTGTGCAAAAAGTTATGCCCTTTTTGGTGAAGCCGCGCAGATTCAATCCAACCGGGATGATGCCCAACTTCAACTGATCATATCTCCCCAACCCGGACTTGGCTTTAAGAGATTCTTGAGTGAAAAATGAAGCCCCAAAAGTTAGCTTTCCGATGGTGGTGGCCCCATAGCTAAAATCCAAGTATGCAGATTAATAAGCCCGATTCAGCGAGGACTGCTCGACTCCAACCGGGATGATGCCCAACTTCAACTGATCATATCTCCCCCACCTGGACTTGGCTTTAAGAGATTCTTGAGTGCAAAATGAAGCCCCGGAAGTTAGATTTCCGACGGTGGTGGCCCCATAGCTAAAATCCAAGTATACAAATTAATAAGCCCGATTCAGCGAGGACTGCTCGACTCCCTTCTACCCAGATTCATGCCTGTCTTCTCCTCCAACTTGGTTTCTTCTCTCTTCCCCTCCTTTCTTCAACTTCAAACCCCTAAGCAAGGTGTTTTGAAAGATTTTTCAAAGATTTCATCTCTCTTTCATTCATTTCCACTTCGTCCCTGCTCGGTTTATCGAAAAGCGCAACGTTTGACAAAATGCGAGCCTCGGAACAACGTAGAACCTTTATTTCAAAAAAGTTTTGAAAGAGAGGGTTTTAAGGTATAAAAACCATCCAAAATAGCTTTGGTCCAAAATGGGGTGTGAATTTGAGACTTGTCTCTCCGCTTGCCGAAGAAACTGGGTCTTTGCCCTGCACACCTTTTATCACCAAGTAAACCATCAGTAACGCCCAAGTCTTATGGGCTGTCAAAAATGGGGTGTCTACACCACGTAGTTTCGAAAATAAAAAAGCTAAGCATAAACACAATTCAATGAAACACATACTCTAAATACTTCTATATCTCTGGGTTATTGTATAACACAAACCAATGAGCAATATCACGAATTTCTTGAGACATTTCAGCATCCCGTGTGATTAGACCAATTGGACGTGCAGTTTCTGTGAATATTGTCAACCCTTGTTGACGTTCACCACAATCTTCATTCTGTTTTGGTTGATTATGCACAGTTTCAATCCCATCAACATACATTGAACAAAAAGTAATGCACTCTTTGACAATGTAAGTCTCGACAATTGAACCTTCTGGTCGAGCTCGGTTGGTCACATATTTTTTTAATGCTCCAAGAAAACTTCAAGAGAGAACGAATTGGGAGTATAGTTACACATGCAACACACTTACGCAAATCTCATTTACAAGTATAAGTGTAAAAAATACCTTTCAATTAGGTACATCCATCGATATTGTACGGGTACTCCAAGAATAGCCTCACAAGGCTGTAGACACCCCATTTTTGACCGCCCTCAAGACTTGGGCACCACTGGTTGATCACTCGATGATGAAAGTTATGTTGTCCAATCGTTCGATTTCTTTAGTAAGGAGAGCTCTAACTCCCAACCTTACACCCCACTTTTGGACCAAAACTATTTTAGACTAAAACTATTTTAGACCTTAAAACCCTCTTTTTCAAAATATTTTTTAAAATGTTTCTACGATGTTCCGAAGCTCGTATTTCGTTAAAAATTGCACTTCTTGGTAAATCGAGCAAGGACAAAGTGGAAATAAATGGAAGAGAGGTGAAATCTTTGAAAAATCTTTTTAAACCTCTTATTTATAGGTTTGGAGTTGAAGAAAATTGGAGGAAAGGGAAAAAGACTAGTTGAGGAAGAAGTTAGGCTTGAAACCGTTAAGAGAGAACTGGGCAGCCTCACTAAATCAGGCCTATCTCTTTTTTCACTTAGACTTTAGTTGTGAGGCTACCACCATTGGAAAGTGAACTTCTGGGGCTTCAATTTATACTCAAGAATCTCCTAAAGCCGAGTCCGAATGAGGGAGATATGGCTGTTTGAAGTTAAGCATCCATCCGATTAAGATAAAAATGAGCAATCACTAAAATAGGCATATCTATTTGCACACTTAGAATTTAGATGTGAGGCTGCCACCATTGGAAAGTGGACTTCCGTAGCTTCAATTTAGACTCAATAATGATCTAAAATCGAGTCTGGATGAGGGAGATATACTCATTTGAAGTCAGGCCTAGAAGCATGGCCGGCATCCAGCATTTGTGGATGGCAAGCCACCATTTCTGGCCTGCCGGCCACCAGTGTAAAATCCAGATATTTTCTCCAGCTGTTTCCACAAAGTTCCAACTGTTCTTTTTTAGATATTTTCGACCAAAGCTCATATATTTCTATATATAGAAGACCTTTCTTCTTGCTTTCAAGGTGAGAAAACATTAGGAGTGAAGAAATAATTTTGGAAAAGTCCTCTCTCTCTACAATTCTCTCTCTCTCTCTCTCTCTCAACTTGCAGCTTATGCCCAAATACTCTAAACCAAACCTAGAGAACTTCTTGCTGAGATGATTTGAGTTTGAATTTCAGCTCTTTAAGCACTTGTGAGTGTGAAATTTGTATTTTTTGACTTAAGGGTTCATTCCTCTTTAAGAGGTATACTTTCTGTTGCCTTTGTACCATCTTTATACCACTTGTTTTCCATCTTTTCTTGCTATTTTTAAGCTCTTTAAAACCTATTTTTATGGATTGAAGCTTGTGGCTTAAGGCTATTGAAGGTAGAAGGGTTAATCACCCTTCTTTGAACCTTGTTATCTAAGGTAGCGTTTGGTAACGTTTACGTTTTCAGTTTATATTTACAAAAATTTTATAAACTGGTTTTTGTTTATTTTTTGAAAAACATAAATAATAAACTCGTTTGGTTTGGACAAAATGTTTGAAAATTTTTGAAAACATAAACTAAAAAACATGTTTGTTAAGGCCTAATTTTTTTTTTTTTTTTTTTTTAAAAAATTTTTTTTTAAATTTTTTTTTTTTTTTTTTTGATTTTTTTTTTTTTTTTTTTTTTGACAATGGGATCATACACATTATCCATAATAATCATATTGATACAATACCAACCATAGATAAATTTAATAACCATAATAAACCATAATGTTCATAACAACTTACAAACCATAATAATAACATCTCAATTCTTCCACAAACCATAAAAAAAACATCTTCCACAATCTATTATACGCATAAATAATATTTCAATTGTTTCCGAGAGATTCCCAAATTTGACCAGCAATTTGATTCCTTACATCAGACATTTGACGTAATTGGGGTTGACTAATGTCTAAGTCAATTGGTTGCTGAGAACTACTTCCTGCATGTGTCGAGCTGCTACTATCACCTCCACTAGGCCCATTATCTTCAATGATACGATCTGGATTGGCCCATTCAGCGAACAATGTGTCATTTTGAGAATGTGTCCTTATCCAGTTGTGTATTGTACAGCATGCAATGGGGATGTATCTCTGCGTCTTAGTTGAATACGGAGGCATCTCTCTCAAAATTGGAAAATGAGCCTTCAAGACACCGAAGCATCTCTCAATCACATTGCGCAGTGAGAAGTGTCGGTAATTGAACATTTGATTCTTGTTTCTTGGTTGTCGACGTTGATTACGAAACTCATTTAGATGGTACCTCTCACCACGGTATGGCGATAAAAAGCCAGGCATAGTTGTATAACCCGAGTCAACAACATAGTATTTATCTGTTCAACATGTATGTATCTATTATTATGGGTTGACAAAAGAATATTCATTATAAATTAACAAAATGCCATATAATACGTACCTATTGGTGGCATTGGAAATAAATTTGTTGGATCATGTACGGTTTCAATGAACACTCTTGAATCATTTGCAGTGCCCTCCCAACCGGCCAATACATACGTAAATCACATATCAAATGAGCAAACACACATTACATTTTGCGTTGTAACTGTATGCTTACCCCGATATGGTATTTGCTCTGATGCTGGCACCCTTGCAGATATGTGGGTACCATCAATTACTCCAACACAATCCTATTTGACAAATGACTTTAATAATGCAGGATATTTTACTAAAATTCATATTTCAAATATTCTGTTAGTGATTACCTTAAAAAAAGGATAGAAGCGTGGATTATGTCAAATTTCTGCAGGCACCTCATCAAAATCTGGAGGCCTTATAACTTGTTTACCAAGCCTACACACTGCCTTCAAGACTCGGTTGAAGTATTTGGAGATGGTTTGGCCAGAATGTTGGAATCGCTCTTGGACAACACGATTTCGTTCGTTGTGACCAATTGTTAGCAAAAATATACAAACTTGCTCTTGGACAGTCAGATAACGTGAGTGTTCCAGTTTACCATATACCTTAAGTGCCTCGCACAAATTAATAAATACATCTGGTTCCATTCTAAAATTTTCCTTGGACCTTCTTTCATGGCCATTCAATATTTCTAATACGTAGTCATGTCCTTGTAATATGGACGTTCAACATGGTCTAGGTTGAAGGTAAGTATTACAATACTCATGTAGTGCTACACACACCAGAAATTGTATATTTTCATCGTCACTGTCTGAGTCAAAACTCAAATCAAGAGCATGCATTGGCTCCATATATATCACTGTGATATAGTGTTGACCCCAAATCAAGAGCATTCATCGGCTCCATATATATCACTGTGATATAGTGCTGACCCCTTAAAAACAAAAGTATTAGTGATAATGAAAATACATGAAATAATGGTCACACAATAATTTTTTCTTTCATTGAATTTTTTTTAGTTTGGTAACCATTTTGTTTGGTCCAATTCAAATGTTAGCTCCATATATTTTAATTTCATATCACTTTAAAATAATTAAAATAACCCATATCTAGTGATGTCCAATTCAAATGTTGGCTCCAATTTATTATTACAACAAAAAATGATAAAAAAATAAATCAAGATCAAGATCAAGATCAATTCACATTATAATCAAACATATGATATACACCTTTTAAAAAATGTCTCATAGAATTGGCGATCATGCATATGGTAAGATTATTTTAAATCATAACAAAACAAATAGTGGAGACTTTTAAAGCCAAAGTTTCTAGTCTCTTTCTTTATTGTATGACTGTACCACATTTTCTTTATTTATGCTGTAGACCGAAATAAAGAGAAACATTAAATTTAGCCATCCCCATGCACACATACTCCATATAGTAATCGTTTTTGCAAATTGCTTTTCAATCTATGAAGTGGGTATCTCATCTCTATGTTAATTGGGTGAGCCATCTAATACTACGCTGTTATTTATAGTATTCTTTGTTTGGCTGTGAAGGCAACATTTATCATGTTCACAAAACTACTGGATACTCTATCAAAGACCCTCAGTAACCATAGTATAGAGAAATCTATTGTCAAGATCATTTGGACTCGTAGCAGAAGAATAAGTTATCTTCACTTCCAGCAGCTACAAACAGGGGAGAACTACAAACAAGCCTTTCTAATACTAGCCAATGTTTGATTTCTATTAAATGAAATCTCAAATTCACCTGTTAGAAGCTCCAAAATTTCAGCAAAGGAACTCAAATCAATGCCCTTTCATTGGGGCATTTTATCAAACAGGTAATTTGCACACACACATACACACACACACACACACACGCACACAAAAGGTTCATCAAACCTCCCTATTTAGGCCTCATAGTCAGAGAGACTTGGCTTATTCACAAGTTGAGTACCAAATTGTTCCAAATTAAAATAACCCACATCTAGTGATGTTTCATATGACTTCAAAATTGGACCAGATGTTTCATATGACTTCAAAATTTACTGAATGTTAGACACATTGACTAGAACAGAACAGTATCAATAATCTAGACACATTGACACATTTCATCGAACAGGTAATGGAAAAAACAATGTTGACAATACAATGACATAAGAATTTTATATAGAAAAAGATCATACATACCTTGCAATGCAGTGTTGAGAATGCAGTGATACAATGTTGACAATGCTTCCTATGCAATGTTGACAATGCAGTAAAAAGAGCATACTACTAACAAACATTGTATAGGAGAAAGAGCATTCAATACTTCAACCAACCATAAACTACCATAATAAAAATAGCCTGCATACCAGTACAATATTATATCAGTAATGGAAAGCCTGCATACCATTTACTCAATTTGATATCTACTCATTTACCCATCTACCCATCTCTTTGCAGTACAATATTAAAAACACCAGTAGAATACACCTAACTCTGTTTCCATAATAAATTATTCTGAAAAAAATAAAATAAAAACTACAATACAACAGTTATCCAACAATACAAGCTTGTTCGCAGAATACACTAAGTCTGTTACAGCACAAAAGATTATCCAACAATACAACAGTTACAGTACCAAATATAAACTTCCATAATAAGTCTGTTTCCATAATAAATTACCAAATAAATTAAACAACACAAACACATACCACACTAAATTTGCACTCTCTCAAAGATTAAGGACCCAATCCCTCATCCTACTAGCAGGCATATCAACAAATACCTCCCTTATTATGGGATCCGATGCAAGCTTGTTCACAGCTTTAGTGTAAGCAGCAGCAGAAATTTCCTCCATACCATGCAATAGTGCCATGCACTCTTTCAGTAATGAACGTGATGGAGTAGAGCCACCTTCAATTGAACCACTGTCATCGCCAACATTAGTAACTGAAGCACTTGTGAAACGCTTTTCCATTAGGTCCACCTTCCTCTTGCTATTTTCACTCATTTCTTTGAGTGCTTCAGAAATATTATCTTGAAAAGAGCTCCTCTTCTTACTCTTTTTACCTCCCATTTTGCTCTTGCCCTTGTCCTTGCCCTTGCCCTTTCCCTTGCCCTTGCCTTGGCCATCTCCATTTTCATTATCACTATCAATTTGCAATGCATCTAACTCCTCATTCTTTACCTTAAATTCAGGATCAGAACCGGCACTACTTTCAGAAGGTGATTTGGTGGAAGGAAAAGCTAGTTTACCAGTTGCGAATGTGTCTCCTAAGATACGAGACAACTCATGGTAGTAAACCATCCCTTTTTTCCTAAACCTCTTTGCATGGGTATTAACCTACAAATCAATGAATTTGAAGTTAACATGAAGAATTCTCTAATTAAATGTAGTAAAGAAAATGCAAAAAGTTAATTAAACCTTGTAAAGGGCTTCCCAAACGTCATCCGGTGCAGTGATAGTAAGTCGCTGGCTATCCCAACAAACACCAGTATGCTTCAGTAATGATGTAAATTTGTTGAACATAATACGCAGCTAATTGTATTTGTTCCGAAGCTGGTGTGCGTTATACTGGTATTGGGTTTTCGCGTTCATTTGATCTCTCAACCTATTCCAAGCTTGTTTCGTGAATGTTCCAGTTATTTTACTCTTCTTGGTTTTCACCTCCTCATCCATAAGGGTAACGAAAAGAGCCTCATTTGCCTGAGGCCATGGACTACTGTTTTCTCTACCAACTTCAACAACATCATCATCATCAATGGGGAGATCATAATGTATTGTTGATGCCATTACCTAAATATTTATATTTATTCATAGATAAACAAATTTCAAAAAAATATGAGTCAAATAAAATGAAGACACATTGAAGAATAAACAGCAGTTTAAACAAATTTCAAAAAAATATAAGTCAAATAAAATGAAGAGACATTGAAGAACAAATAGCAGTTTAAATATCCTGTGGGTTGGTATAGCAGATTTCGAAGATTTCTAGCAAATAAGTCAAATAAATGAAAATATGAGTTTACTAGCATATAAGTCAAAAAATAGCATTCTCTTAAAATCAAATAAATGTATAGATTACTAGATTAGTAGCATTCTGTTAAAAGTAGCACTTAAGTGAAAAAATAGCACTTAAGTCAAACAATAGCACTTACTAGCATTTGTGAAAACTATTTTTGAACCTGCCAATCACAATTTCCATCCGAAATTCAGAATATGTTCATGGAAATTCCATGTAGTACTAATGTGCAGAAACTTAAACAGAATTTTGACCAACATAAATGCATCCAACTCTCAAGCTAGATGAACACCAATAATGATTCTTCCAGGTTCTACTATAAGGCAAGGAAATAGAACACAAATATCCTGTGGGTTGGTATATTTACTGAGAAATGAATTATGGATCTGTTTTCTTCAATCACAAAAATTTCTGACAACTTTGTTGGTAAAAAGTTCAAGAAAGTGTCCAGTTTGAGGAAAACAATTTCATTTAACTATCCATCTAAGAAACCTGTTTGTCAAAGGTAAGTAAAAATCGAAACATCCATTTTTAGTTTTAACGTAGTTGGTCCCAAGGAAGAAAAGTTTTGAGCATCCCATTTGGAGAAAAAGTTAATTTATGAACTCAATGGAGTAAACTCAACTCAACAAAGCCTCATTCAACTACTAGGTGTTGGCTACATACGTCCAGTTTTGCCAACCTGTTCAATTAGTTGTCAACAGAATGTTGAAAACAAGAAATATGAAAAAGAAATATATGAAACGGATAGATGCAAGCTCATGCAATCCCATAAGCATTCTTTTGACACCACATTTATTTTCATCATGCATAAAAGGTTATTTTCATGCATGTATCACAATATAACAAATGAGAGGAAAACATTCTTCCAATGGCTATTACCTTTATTACACGATGGACAATTGGAATATCACGACCCTGCCAACAAAAAAAAAAGAAGAAGAAGAAGAAGAAGAAGAAGAAGAAGAATAGACATAGGAAAAATATTAACAAATGCCAATGTCAAAACAAGATATATGCAAGCATTTACCAAATTTGCATGCATGTGTAGCCTATTTCTGTAGGTCTCTGGAGAGAATTAAACAGAAAACAATAGAAATATTACTACATCCACAAAAGATAAACAAAATGTGAATAGAACAGTATAAAAAAATAATAAATAAATAAAATGTAGTAAGACTGGAACTATAGAGAATATGATTCAACATAGCGCAGATGGAGAAAATGGATTCCTACAAGGCTTTTTGAAGTTTGCAAACAAGCTAATAAATGCACTAGTTTCTGCTTTGAAACCAAGACTAACAGTAATTATCTCCGTTATATTTAGGATTGATTTGCAACCTTCAAGCCAAAGAAAAAAGTGATTCAGAAGGCACATGCCAACTAATTGCTAGAGCATTCTTAATATCAATGTTACTTTGGCTGACTCAAATACCAAAGAGTGGCCTAAGAAAGTTAATATCAAATATATGCATTTCAACTGTCGGCTTTTCTGGGTGATGTTGAGCCTGTGATTGTATTTTGCTTGTTCTTTCTTTTGTAATTCTTCTTAATTGACTTATTATGATATATTGCATTGCTCTTCGAACACTCATTTTATCACACCTCCCCCCATTCCCTATCATCAGTTGGATAATTTGTGAATTATCATGAACAAAGTTAATTTTGTTTTTGACTATTTTGTAGACATGAATGTGTGCTACCTTGTTTTCTTTCTTTCAAATATTTTCCTCTTTTCTGATTGTTTTTCTAGTTGTTAGATTTTTCTTCTGTTTCTGAAGATTGCATCTGAAGCTGGAAGGGGTACGTATACTCATTTTGTTCTAGTTGTTTGACATTCTATGAATTTCTATTGGACTTATTCTTGAGTTGGTTGTTGAACTTGGCAGTACGACCTTTTTGACGAATCTCTACAGGGAAGTGAAGCCATTGTTTTGATGGCCATTGACAGGTTGACCAACAAAAAAATGGCATTGAAAAAGATCTTTTTGCCTGATGATAAGATACAAAACCCAATTCAGTTTCAAGCAAAACCTAATTATTTGACTTAGATTTCCCCAAAACCCAATTCAGTTTCAAGCAAAACCCATCAATAAATCGCATATCAAATATGAAAAATGTCACCTTTTATGCTCAACTCTCATTGTAACAGACAAAATGTTAACTCTCATTGTAACAATAAATATATTTTCAGTTCTGATGCTCAAGTCTTGACAACAATCTGATTTCATGTTCAGCAATGGCTATGGCACAGGTTAATCAGGGCTCCTTCCAAGGTCCTACTGATTAGGTTTTCCCAAAGCAGAACAGATTTCTAGTTCGGAAAAAAAAAAAGATTTGTAGCACAGATCTACAACCAACAAAAAAAAAAAGATTTCTACAGAACAGATTTCTGGTTCGAGAAAAAAACTGCAGAACAAATTATAGTACAGATCTATGAAATGTAGCACAGATCTACAACCAACCATGAAAGAGAAACTGACCTGAGAGTGAGATCGATGTGGTTCGGAGATTTTGCAAAAAATCTGCAAAATAAATTTGTCATTTCAGGAAAAAAAAAAAAACCACCATGGTAGCTCTACAAAAATCTGAGATCAATTTGTTGCCATCGAAGCTGCCATCAAATTGATCTCAGCTGCCATGAAATCCCAAAGCTACCATCAATTTGATGGCAGCTGAAATCCCAAAGCTACCATGAAATCGAAGCTGCCATCAAAGAGAGAGAGAAGAAAGAGACCTAAGTGCATATGAAATCGATCTGTCAACAAACAAACATACCCTTTGTCTCGTCATTAATCGATTTCATGACAGATTTATTAACCTACAAACCATAGCAAGAGAGAGAGAGAAGAAATAGACCTGAGATCAATTTGTTGACAGATCTACAAAGATCTGCATGTTTGCAACATAATGTTTTAGAAAACAAAACAAAAATCGAAGCTCGGTGAACATAGAGAGCAAGGTCGGTGAACACAGAGAAGAGAAGGGAGACAGAGAGAGAAGAGAGAGAGAAGAGAGGGGAGAGAGACAAACCTGATCTGTGAAATTCAAGTGAACATAAATGAGGTGGAGGAAGATGAGATATTACCGTTGGACAAAATAAATGAATGAGGTGGAGGAAGATGAGATATTAACGTTGGACAAAATAAATTCAATATTGGTGCTGCGGAGATTTGAACCAGGATCAAGTTGTTAACAATTAAGTTACTGTAGCTCCGCTACAGTAACTTGCGCTACAGTGCCAGTTTATTAAATCAGCGAAAACAGGTTTTTTCTATTTCTGTTTTTTGGGTCAGATTTATAAACTGGGAAGCCGAATTATAAATCAATTTTTTTACCAAACGAGTTTTTACTACAGTTTTTTTAATTTTTGTAAATATAAACTGTAAACTGAAAATAAAACGGTTACCAAACATATCCTTAGAATTCGATTCGAAACGATTATTGAACCAGGATCAAGTTGCTAACAATTAAGTTACTGTAGCTCCGCTACAGTAACTTGCGCTACAGTGCCAGTTTATTAAATCAGCGAAAACAGGTTTTTTCTGTTTCCGTTTTTTGGGTCAGATTTATAAACTGGGAAGCCGAATTATAAATCAATTTTTTTACCAAACGAGTTTTTATCACAATTTTTAAAATTTTTGTAAATATAAACTGTAAACTGAAAATAAAATGGTTACCAAACATACCCTAAGCCTTTCCACTTGTGTTTCCCATCTCTTCATCAACTGTTTTTTAGCTTTTTACTACTAATTTTTAGAGATTTTCAGAGGCTAAAAAAGTGGTTTTGAAGTTCTAAAAATGGAGGGGTTAGCCACCCCTCCTTTGGCTTGTTTACTTGCTTAAATTGCTCCATGTTTTAACTTATTATTTTAGCTACTTTTGTATTCATTCCAGCACATTTTTGTACTATTTTTGGGCTGTATAAACTCTGTATTTTTGGGCTGAAACTTGTGGTTTAAGGCCAATAAGGGTTGAGGGGTTGTTCACCCTTCTTTACACCTTGCTTTCAAGGCCTTTACCCTTGTGTTTCTCACCTTTACACTATCTTTTTTTGAGCTTTTAAATGCTAATTTTTAGAGTTATTTCAGTGGCCAAAATCATGTTTTGAAGTCCAAACTTAGAGGGGTTAGCCTCCCATCCTTATATCTTGTTTACTAGCCCAGTTTGTGCCATGTTTTAGCATATTAATCTAGCATTTTTTAGCTTAATTCCAACATGTTTTAACCTCTAATTTGGACTTTTTTAACTCTATTTTGGGTTGGTTAAGCCATTTGAGTCTTGTTTTGCATGCTTCTAGTGTAAGTGTCCTCACAAGCTTGGTGTTTGAGGCCTTTAGACACCACTTGTTTAAGTTGATTGTATTGTTTTAGTGTTTTTCTCACTTAATTTCAGCAAGCATAATCTCTGCAACCTCCCTCATTTCTTCACTTTTTGTTTGCTTTGAGGGTTGTTTCAACCTTGGGATTGTTTAAGCTTGAGATTGAGGTCCATGCTTAATGGTTTA